CACTGAACAGAAGCAGAACACTGGGTTAAGCCAGAATGGCTCAGGAAGAAGGGAAAGGCCTTTATCACAGAACCAGGAGAGGGCTGAACGGTGAGGCTCCTGCATCACTTGGTGTCTCCAGCTCCCACGGGACCTGCCCTCAATTGCTCAAAGAGCCTGACCTCTGACAAAGACCAATGATTTCAGCAGTAATTAATGATACTGTCAAATTAATTAACCCAAGTCTTTGTCCACAGGAAAAAAAAGAAACCCTCTAATGTCAATACTGCTATTTACTAGTCCTTGACCAAGCTCAACAGACTCAAACCTTCAGTCAGGATACAGGGGCACCACTGAATGATGACCCTAATAGGTTCTCACCTAGTAAGCCACCACCATTTGTTAATAAACCCTCTTACTATAACATATTCTTTGATAATACAACTTTAGTGAATTCCCAGCTCCCTAACATCTAACACTTTTAAATACATACAAGTCTGAGAATGCCAGTGTGTATCTTTCATGTTCCCTGCAATACCTTTTTTATACCCTTTTGAATTATAGTGATGAAACACGAGACAAATGCTGTAGGATTTCATTAAGCCATTTAATAAATGGCCCTCATTAAAACGCCAGCTCCCTTGTCCTTGTCTATAAGGACTCCAGCTAACCCAAGTGCCCACGTATACATTTCCATATTATCTCTTTAGAGGATTCAGAACTATTTTCTTACACCCAACACAGCTTTTATTCCATTTAGAATAATTACCCTCCATCCCATTTCTGACTTTCAAGAAAAACAAGACACTTAATTGACCACAGGAGGACTCTCTCAAGGGCATCAGGCTGCAAAAGCTCTTCTGTGAGCTCACAACTTAAGCTGATGTAATCTGCTACAAGAAGCTGACTTCTATTTTTAAGTTATACCCTTTTACTCTGCCTTCAAAGGGCACATATATCACACGTTGTAACTGCTCATAAAATACTTCGTGGCCTAGTCTCCCATCCATTTCCCTCCCGGGGTGAATCACACTGTCAGGAGAGGCTTCCAGCTGCAATAGCAGTCCAACCCTGCCCATTTAAATTCATCCACCGTTTCCTATTATTTGGTCTTTAGCAGAATAGCTACAGATGACCCCACTCTCCGGGTGTCTTGTTTACCACGGTAATTCTGACAAGGAACAGATGACTAGCGAGGAGGGGGGTGCTCCTCCTTGAGGGCTGGGACCAAGCTCTTCTACCTCTTTGTATTTCCATCCCCAAAGATAGGCACTTAATAAATGCTTATTAATGTCCCTGCCGAGAGCTCTGTCATCGGGCCCATGTGCTCAAAGGGCCTCAGAATGAAAACAGATCATTTGCTTTGTTTAATTTTAAGTTTTTCATTCATCATTTCAGTCATGCTCGCTGTGTTATTAAAAAAAAAAGTTGCTTAGAATTTTGAAAACACTAGGAAAAAAGCCTTGGTTGGAAGTGAAAGTACATTTGATCTTGCTGTTTATTTATTTATACATATTCTGCTCGTTTCTAAAAAGAACGAAGCGCTCTGTAATTAACGTGGTGCTGTTACAGAGTCTGGCAGAGGTCAGAACAGGACATTTCTCTCCGGTCTACTTCCCTCTTCATTCCCTGGGCACCCTGTCTCGTCTGCGGCTCGCCCAGCCTCAGGGCTTGGGTCCTTCCCATCCCTTCTCCCGGGGGAAATGTGAGTGAGCTTTTGAGAACACACATTTGATCGTGTCCCTCCCCTTCTCAACACTCTTCATTCCCCTCAGCCCTTGGAGATATGCCTTCAGCCATGGGCTGCTTACCCGCCCACTGTGCCTTTCACGCTCTGGTTGGAAGGACCTAAAAGGACTTAAATGTGTCCTGTTTGTTTTCACCTAACGGCCTTTGTCCATGTTGCTTCCTAGAGTGGAACTCTGCTCTGCTGTCCCTACCCCCTCACTCAGCTCCTTCTCATCATCCTTCTTGACTAGTTTTAGATGCCACTTCCTCTGGGAAGCCCCTGCTGACTGCTCTTGTGGCACCATGTGCCATCTCAGATGATGGTTCATCTTACCACATCATATTCACTTGCTCAACCCCCAAGTGACCACACGGGACAGCGGGGAAGCCACTACATCTGCTCCTTCACTTCGACACCCCTCTGCATGGGGCCTGGCACAAGGTGCACATCAGGATCATTTACTGGATGAGTGAACAAATGAATCAGTGCACACTAAAGAGTGCAACTGGGGGATAAAACTGTGAGGTATGAACTACAATTTTGTTTCCTCAGAAAGTGTAAACTCAAAGAACAATATACCATTTTAGTTCAGATTCATCAATTAAAATGTGAAGGAGGCAGCTGGATCTGAGGAGGACTCAGAAATGCGTTCCAGTAACACTTTCCTGAGAGATAAATGGAGACTCTGTTTAAAATGGAATCCTACAGGGACAAAACATTAAGGCTTGTTCAACGTTAAAATTCATGTTACGAATTCCAAGCGAACAGGAGACTCCACAGTTTAAATTCATTCCAAAGAGCACAGCAAGCCACAAATTAATAATACTACTTCTTACCTGCAAAGCCACATATGTCAACTTCCAAAACATCCTGAGGTCAGTTGCAAGTGGTGAGAAAGCTCTAGAGGTTTGAGAAGACAGGGGTCTGGCACTTCAAACTCCATGGCTGGAATCTGGCCAGCTGATATGGGTGCTAACTTGGGCCAGGTGCTGGGCTGGCCCTGGGGGTGTGGCAGAGAAGAGAGCTAACCTAGTCCTTGTCCTGGTGGAGAGTCTAGTTTAATCAAGTATACACTCGAATACAGACTTCCTGGAAAAAAAATCTTTCCCTAAATTCTAAGCACACCATGTTCAGCTATTAAATTAAATGCAGCACACATGGGATTGTGGAGCAAGGCATTGCTTCAGCTACTTCTACATGGCGAAGGATTTAAAAAAAAAAACAAAACCATATTTTCCAAAATCAACAGATTGATGACACTAACGAGTGGGTAATGTTTCAACATTCAAACCAAATGACGAAAAGGGCTTGGTTTATTTCATCCTTACACAGCTAGTAACCACCCTTAGAAACAGAAGCAAATAAACACAACTTCAAGTGAAAGTATCCTACCTTTCAGAATAATTTTATGTTTACTTTTATTACTTGGCACATAGAAAGCGATCAATAAATGTTTGTTAAATGAATAAATCACAGAAGAGGTGTTACTATGAAAATGCCTTTGTCAATTTTAGGTATGTTCATTAACTCCCTTTTTTCCCTCTCTTAGGGAAAAAAAGTTCACATATTTTCTAGGATTCTGCCTTTGATTTCCCTGTCTGATCTTGTGCTAGTTACTTAACACAGGTATCATGTTCTTCATCTATGAAATAAAATCTGTGTCTTGGTTATTGTGAGGCTTGAAGGGAACAGTAGATATAAAGTGACCGGCATTAAAACCTGCAGATAATGTTGGGTTTTTTGTTTTCTTTTTTTTTTTTTTTTGGTGGGGGGAGGTAATTAGGTTTATTTATTTATTCTTAGAGGTACTAGGGATCGAACCCAGGACCTCATGCATGCTAAGCATGCACTCTACCACTTGAGCTATAGCCTCCCCCTACTTTTATTCATTTTTTAACCTCTCCATGCCATCCTCCTCCAATCCTCTATAAAGTGTCAAAGACAAACCAAATTACTGGCCTGATTAGAAAGTCAGGAAATTTCAAATGTAGCCTGGGCTTGCCAACATCTGGCTATCAACTTTGAAAAGTTTTATTTACTATTTTGGGGCCTTGGTTTTCTCTTTCATAGAATGAGTGAATTTCACTAGCTCAGCTTTAAGGAACTTTTCAGTTTTTTGACTGTCCGTGACCTCAGAAATCTGCCTTTCTGGGGAGTTGGGTGCTGCTCACACTCTAATGTCATCTACAATTAGAAACAAAATGGACTCAGCCCCTTCATAGCGAGGGATTCCAAACTACAATCCAAAGTAAAACCTGACTTTTAAAGAATTTGTATTAATCTCATACCTGGGTCAACAACTGGTGATCCTGTCCTTAAGCAGCAGAAGGTCCCTCCTTTCCCCCACCCCACACCCTCCTGCAACTCACACATCCCACACAGCTACCTCCCGCCAGCCAGACTCCTACAGGCAGCTTCTCAATTATGTACTTTGAAACCCAGGGGCTTTCAGCAATATCAATTACAAAGGGATCATTTGAAATGAGTAAGACAATTGACATAATATTATATCAAACCTAATATTTGCTTGATTTTTTTGTGTTTCACACTCTGAAATACATCCAAGTCGACCAAACAAAGACCTACACAACAAAAATCTCGCATTTTCAGAAATTCTCAGTGTATGACTGCCACCTAGTGGTATGATGTATCCTTGTATAACCAAAAGCCCAAGCAGCCAAATCGACACAGGAAACTTTAAATACCAAGAAAACGTTGTTCCTTTGCTTCTCACCAGTCATTTCAAGGAAATTTAGGAGCATATCCATCTCCTCAGCTATCTATTTTGCTCATACAAATACCTGAAGGGCCTATTGCAGATGGAGTCAATGCCCCCATTATTAAATTCTCCAACTAAACCCCACTGCTTCTGAACCACTTCACAAAACAAAGGAGCATTACTATTCTATTAATTTTAATATTCATTAGCAATTAACAAAGATTTCCCCAATAGTCTGTTCTCACCTTCCGGTTTCATTTGCCCTAATCTTGATTTTTAGTTATGCATGAAAAAGCATTTAAAAGTGACAGCCTTACAAAAAGTGCATATTATATGAAAATCTGACTTCAATTAAAATCAGTTACTAAATCCTAGCAATTTCCAGCTGTCTATTCTATCTTATCCTTAGAGAATTATATATTCCATTAATTGGTATTCTGTCACATTAAAAAGACACCGGCGGTGATTAATTGCATCCTTGGTGTTTCTGAGTTAATGTCTTCCTCACTAGAGAGATTCAAATCACATCTTGTTATCTTCCAGCAGGTACCCCTTTCGGAAACCTTCTCCTACCTTTCTGAACTTCTCCATTTGCTTGTAGAGGTCTGGATCAAGCTCCTGTGACACGTCCTTCATCCACAGCAATGCCCCTCTGTATTCAGTCCGGCACTGCTCCATGCGGTTCACTGTCAGCCAAGTGTCTGAGATGGCCCGGTGCCGAAAAGTCTCCACTTCTTGGTGAAAGCGACACAAAGGATTGCGCAAGGCCAACCTAGACAAGAGGGTAAAGCCACAATCTTGACATCTTAAAAGGGCCAGCAATGTGAATCCCTAACAGTATATCGATCTTAAACTCATGAGCCTAGCATGGTGCCTGAAACACAGTCGATGCTGCAGAAGTATTTGATGAATTACAACTGAAATGTATGTGAAACGATGAGTCGACCAAGGATGAGTATCCATGTGCTGACCCCTTAGCCCACTGTTACTTATTGCATCATTGAGGAGTCTCTCCATCAGTATTGATGCCGGGGACGGCGGGGTTCATGCCTGGGCAGAGTACTGGTTTAAAACTGGAACCAATCCTGGGTTAGTGGAGGGAGGTCAAGGCATGACCGTTTCCCACTTCTACTCTTGGCCACCCCCTGCCTTCTGCCTCTCTTAAGCCTGGCTCTTTGAGAGGTCATGTGTATGATTAGGGCTCCCTGGCTGGGCCATTCTAGATTACTCTCTGAAGGCCATGGCATCTGCTGCTTGCTCCAACAGTCACAGAGAATGTAGCACAAACAGAAGCATTTTTAAACGGACGAGGAAGGAAGAGGAGTGCATTGACTGAGGGTCCACTGTGTTAGGCACTTTCAAGTATGTTATTTGATTTGACCTTTATTTTTTTAAAAAAATTAAAGATACTATACTAGAAATGAATGTATATTATACCATGAAGTGGGTGTATAATAATTATAATATTGGTCATAACATACGATTATTTATTCAGTAAGAAAATGTTTGCTGCACATCAAACTTTGGATAAAACACTTATTTGGCGGGGTTGGGGGCAGGGGGGAGGATGGATACTGCTTCTTCTAACTTCCCACCCAAAATGAATAATATCAAATGAATTATACTCTCAAAATACAGTTGTATCAATGAAGCTGTGGGACATAGGTTCAAAAAAATAAAAGATTAGTATTAACATTTCAATTTAAATGCAAACTTAAGCTGAAGGGAGCAAAGGTGTCAGTGAGCTGAAGTCAGCTCTTGGCGGTTCCATCAGCGTCTGCAATGCCGCACACATGCAGAGCACTCTTAGATTATAGATGGGGCAATAAACTGTTTAAAAAAAATTACCCTTTTACTGTTTTCTCTGGTTTTCCTCGTCTATAAAGCATTGTTTTTAAATATTCAGCACTTCTCTAAAGACAGGTTGCTCACAGGTTGTCCCGCCTGGAGGTTGCAAGGCTGTTTTCAAAGACATATTGTTGTGCTATAAAGTAGGTTTGAGTTTTATCACCACTGGATTAAATTTAATGCTCACTTTTCATCAAATTGAATGTGCTGTCATAGCAATGACTACCAAATAAGTCAGTAAAAGAAATGCTGGGGTGAAGGTTTATAAAATTGAAGACTTCTATTTAAAGAAAGACTTCTATCCTCAGCTGTCCCCTCTAAGGATCTGTTCATTTCTGGACTCCTTTGTCTCTTCATTTAGAGTTTGCCAATTTTCCTAAACTGGCTGAAAAAGAGTCTTGTGAATAAAACACTCTCAGTTTCTTTGACTCTTTTAACATTAGAAACCATTGAAGATGTAATGACATGATGATAAGTGTTAAGATCTTGAAGAAAAGAAAAAGGCGTATAAAGTCACCTCATTTTTCTCCTGTACTGTATCTGAAAGCAGAAAGGTGAAAGCCCATTCACTTTTGGTACCAGGGGTTGAGTCTAGACTAAGGGAAAAATCCAATAACTGGAAATACCAAACTTCAGTGGCCTACGATTCCATTCATTAAAATCTATCCAATGAGAATAATTCATAAAGTACCTACAGGTCTAGTCCAGAGGCATTTATTCTTTAGAAGGAAAAGGTAGAAGTGATACAAGTAGTGAACAAAGGGCTTGGGTTAAATGTATCATGGCCTGCCCAGATAATGTTAAAACTATGCTATGGATGTTTTAAAAATGCATACATGGACATTAAAAAAGTTAGGATTATTTGATAAAAAAAATCAATTTGCTAAATAATCAGTATGCAATACTACACAACATTGTACAGTATGATGCTGTTTATATTAAAAATAC